ATATCAGTCCATGATGAATCCCGGACAGACTCCGAAAGTTAACATACGTATTAACATTTCAAGGACGTCTTAGAACGTCCTTACCCTTTGCTTGAGGAAATAATCACGATTGAAACAACACAAGTCAGAGGGCATGGCCACTAATTCATCTGACGGTTATCGACCGGAAACCAGGAAACGAATACGAAAACTGAGCAAACAGTAATGCTAAACACTAAACGCAACTAAACATATGGCATACACACGTACGCGAAACAAAATAGTTGACTGGCGAATTGATAGACAAACGGTCAACATGTCCAGCTAATTTCGACGCGATTTCTGAACAGGAGGACCAGCCAGTGGTCAAAATGTCCTTGTTCTTGTTGGAGTTGGGTACAGTGTATCATGCATTCATCGAAACTGTCCATGGTATCAGGAGTACGGTTACGGATACAGTAAGTTGCTGAACGACTGACCACAGAAAGCTTCGGCCTCTGGTCGTCGCCGTCATCATCGCCAGTCACAGGTTGCCATGGCAACTTTTCAATGATTGGCTCCAGCGAGTGAAAATCTTCGTGAGTTCACGTTATTTGTCGTCTTCTTATCTTGGCCAGTTGTTCACTCCACCTCGTTCGGTTTGTTCTGAAATGACAGAACTGTACTACGGATTGGTGTAGGTGCAGAGTCTGAATTCCCATCCCCATCACATTCAGAAAAACCCAACATGTTTCGGTGAAATGATTTATCTGTGAAAACCACAAATAATTGGCCAAGCTATGTCGCACAAACTGGTATCAAGTTCCATCAAGGGAACCGGAGAATTGTTCCGTGAGTGAGCAGCCGATAGGAGGGCATGTGTCAATGTCTCCTGCTTTTTGGTAGTTGACGTCTTGACATATCCGTGGCCTCATGAGAACTCACATCTCGTCTGAGGTTCAAACTCGCGTCATCCAGTGTTGTAGTCACTGGCGCTACCAGCGGAGTACTCCGCCTAATATTGACCTCCTATACGATCTTATCCAGTACACTCACTGACCACTAGAGGGCAACCAGTTTCGTGTTGTTTAGAAATGAACGCTGACCGAAATATTCTGATTATTCTGTAAAGTGACCATCAAGCTAGGAGGCCTGCCATCTCGGTGCGCCTTGGTAGATGCGGATCACCTCCAGTCAACTAAAGTCCAGTAATATGAGCTCCGATCGTCAGTACGTCAGCTTGGCGGCCACATTGACAAATGGTGTACGGGATTTGGTTAACACCCTGTACTGGGCAACGTGTAACTGGTTGGCCCCAAGTGACCAGGCGATGGGATCAAATTGTCTTTATTAGCGACAGTGTAGAGACATGTAGTGTACTCACTTCCTTCAGTAAGCCGCGAAATCCCCCGAAGTGGAAATACAGATAGTGTAAAGAAGGAACTTGGTAGCATTGTGTAACTAGGCGGTCTTCCGGACTTCATATTGTCGCTTCACGAGGGAGTGCGCCGACAAAAAAGTTTATGAAGTGGAGAAGAAGGTAGGTAAAAGTGATAGAAAGTCAGGAAAAGAGCGTGGTGGAGTGAAAGGAAGCAGAGACTCCATTTGTTGATTGGGATGAGAATAGCGTGTGGATAGGTTTGCACCAGTGGATTCGGTTGTCAACCACGTAATCACCTAGCGTTTCCAGCCGCCGTCTTCGTTTGTCATGGAGACGGCAACCCAAAAGCCAAAGATTTCGTTGGTAACAAGTATAACCTCTGGCACAGCCTAAAACAGAAGTGCCACGTAATTTGTTTGACCACAGGGTAATGGAGTCATAGATTTCCCTAGCTCTTATAAAACACAGCAGTGCAGCAGACCCAACAGAGTCATCAACATGATCCATCAGTTCCGGGCTAAGTGTCGCTGCAAGCAGTTGATGTGGGCTTCCTCCTAAACCTTGCCATCCTGGAAACTGTGGCCATCCTGCGACCATCTTCAGATGTACGCCAGCCCTCTTACGTCAAGCCAACATCCCAGGTCGACCGAATATGCAGAAAGTGAACATAACATCTGGTAACTTGGCGGCTCATCTGAAGGACATGCTTATCAATTCGGAATAGCCAGATGAGGCCGCGAACAGTTACATGAGAAAGCGACCTGATCATTCATCTCACGGACTATATAGAAGGGACGAGAACATTATCCTCCGGGAACAAATCCTAAAATACAAAGTTCGGCGCTACTTGAGAAACAGGATTTGTTTCTTGACGCTGAACTTGTTTCCTTCCGGGTGACGAAATATTGCTAGGCAGCCGAATGAATTGTATCACCATCATACACGGGTCCTGGATGCGCTTTGCAACGGGTCTTGCACATACTAAGCAGCAACGCCCGGAAAGGTTATTTTTGTAAAAGAACCACAGGAGTAAGGAATAATGTAGTATGTTCACCCCAATCTACAGGATAGAAACCAGCCGCTTAAGTGAATAAGATAAAAAGAAAGTAGAGGGCATGGCTGAGTACTCTGCTGAGATGCTAATCCGGGAGCCTTTGGTGGGCATGGATTCAATAGTAGAAGTACAAGCGTTCGACAGGAAAAATTCTGTGACAGCAACTGCATTGGTGTGTTTACAGGATCGGTTTCTTTGGACACGGAAGGATCGATAGGACCGAATTAGCTGGGTCCAAGCCTACTCAAAGAGCTTTCACCCTATAAATAGTCGGCCGCTTAACTACAAAATTGAAGTTGGCTGTCAGCTCACGCACACTCCCCCATGACTGGATGGACACCATAGTCATGCCTATCTACTAGTCGGGTTTTGGACAGAACTTACCAAACAGCAAACCGATAGGCTAAACTAACACAGAAAGAGTTATCAAAAAACCATTTATGGTCCACCTAGACAGAAACACTCCGTCGTCCCATTCGCCTTTGCTTTCGGATGCTCGTACATTCCACACGGTGGTTTGAAGATGCTTTGGTCATCTTTCTCTCAGCTAGGTGAACACTAAACCACCGTCATTTTTGTCCTTTCACTCACTTTAATACCGCCACATTTTAGTAGGTTACACTTGTTTCTGTTGGTCGCCTGTATGATGTCATGCAAGATGCTGGCTTTTAGGGCTGTGCCGCGGTCTTTCAGACAGGTTTCGTCTGCAACGGCATCTGTCGATTCAGAAGATTGCATCACACGCACTCCCCCACCCTTCCCTGGGCAAGAATATCTCACTATTTGTTGGGTGGCCACAACAACTTCCAGTTTTATTTCTTCGCCGGTAGAAACTACTTTTCTTCATAACCGACTCATGAAGTACTCTTAGACAGAAGCATAGCTTACCTTGTTGTTGTTGTCCACTGGATGAAGTAGGAATGATAGTGTCCACTGTGTGATAATGGTTATCCTGAAAGGTTTGCAAAATAAGCAATAAATGTGGTGAAAGTAGCTGGCAAATGTGACACCAGGTGTAACCCTAGAAAGATTATTCCCAGCTGTCCCGTTCAAAGTGAAATTCGAAGCCATGATACAGTTTAACGTCCTCTTTCTGTACCATTCAACGCTGCCCAAATCTTTTAGGTTTCTCTGCAATTATCAACTTGATGACGTTCCTCCTAAGCTACTTCTAGTTCGATGGAGTGGGATCAAGGGGGAAATGATCTTGGTGTAACAAACTGCACACCAGCTTCTTTATTCTGACCGACCGTCCCCAAGCTTTAATCATAAACCTCACCCTAGAGGGAATCCCCAAGAGTTGAGCACGAGATCTTGCAGAAGAACCTGTACTAGGTGGTTTGGAGTTACTATGTTGCAACTGTGGATCTCCCTTCCTGAAATAACTACAACCGCTCCCCCAGACGCTTCCGGAATGAGGTTTGATGTCTAGTGAGAAACTTGTGGAACAAATGTACCGCACATAGAGAGTTTTCCGTTGTCTCAAAGACCTTGGTCAACAGCGCCATCACAATCTGTATTGCTTTCGGTTTTTCGGAACTACGAAAAAGAATTTTTCACACTAACATGAGTATACAAACCAAAAAGTGTTCTGCTCGTCAAGGGATGTTTCGGTCCTCCAGGAAAAATCTGCTCCCTCCCAAAGTAGAGGAGCGTAGGATAATGGCTTTCGATAAATATAGAAATAGTCCCAGTCCTTATTCGCCGGGTGAGATATGTATCCACTGCTCAAACTCCAAAAAGATCTGAAAGCTCTTTCAAGTGACACACTTGGAGATTCGGTTCATAGTCACCTTGCACGCGGAAAGGCAAACTCCAGAAGGTCAAAATCTGACTATTTTTGCCGCAGTATACCGGTTTTATATTCATCTTGTTGAAGAATATCGATTATGACGTCCACATACTCGAAGGACATCACTACCTTCAAACGCATCCGGGGCAGGTCTACAATAAAAATGATTGGGTCACGGTGAAAGCGTCACCTGGCTCGCTAAGTTGCTCCTAAGCTGCAACCAGTACAATAACAAAGGATCACAGGGGACATAATCATGATGTATCATATTGTTCAAAATCCCAACATCCTAACAGATTCCTCTTGAGCTTTAATAAGGTACTCAACCTCATATGCCATCTGTTAGCGGCAGAGCATGAGGGAGCATGTACAAGGTTCGGGTCGAACCCATTCACAGTTAGGGTATGTAATCCACGGAACTTACTTCACGCAGAAGTTTTTATTGCCCCCTCCAGTGATACTTTTAAAAGGTTAGATGCATATTTAGAGTCTTGTGAAACTTGAAGTCCGTACTCAAGAGGCTTTCCGTCGTCTACAGACCAGAGGGGAAAGCACCACCTATTGAGACCAGATTAATAATTAGTCGGTTAATTCTGTTCCTTCCGGTTTCTCAGAAATTACAAGTGTGGCCATTCCAGACCAAGGGCGCCTTCCAAAGAGACAGATTTATAGTTCGAGGAGCTGTCATTCACGAAACCTCTAGCATGAAGTTTGAAGTTTGACCCCTACAATATGACATTTGAGGTTTTTACAAAGCATTAATTTAACTAGGTTACATTCCGAAGGTCAAAACCGTTTGGCGGCATTACCTCTACATGGGTTTGTTAACAATTCTGAAGAAACTTAAGGCGAAGGAGAAAGAAGTCAGAATACTGATCCTGTATGTTTGATTGCATGTCTGGTGTTTTAGATAAATAACTAGGTGATCGAAATGAGTTAAGGTCTTAAATATTAAGCTGTAAATTAGAAAGCTCACTGTTTTTATTTTTGGTATTAAATGCATTTTCAAAGTTTATAAGGATTGAAGTAACTGACATCAACAGAGAGACAGGATTTGATGTCCATCCATATATTCTTGGCTTTTGTTGTAAATATGTTGTATTTTAACTGAATGACCAGTGGAAAGACTTTTCTGAGAGGAAGACATATAAGCGAACAATACTGTTTTCATCTAGCTCTCATCATCCTTTTTACGCTAGATATGTAGATAATAATAGTAGCAGTAATAATGGTCATCTGAGTGACAGGAATGATGGGGACAGAATAGTACTTCACACACTAAACAAATAATGTAGGTCAAAACTTAGAAATATAAAAGTTACGCAATACTAAAGGACGGAATGTGTAGACAATCAAAATCCAAGTAAATAAACATGTGTGAAAGGAATGAAGGAAGAGAAGGGGGTGAAAACTGAATTTATTTTTAATTCAATGTAATAACTGATCAGTTAACAAGTTTTCTATGGCTAAATCAGAGATAAAGACTACACAAATGTTTTCTGCACACAAAGACTATCATTGTTTTCTCTAATTCCAACGTCCTCAGCTATGTGTAAAGTGAGAGTGCGAATTCTATTCGAAAGATTTTGCGGAATGTGGTAGATGATCTTTGACGCTTTGTTCTTGTCTACTACACGGTCAAATGTGATAGGATTGAATTTCGTGTTAGCTTTTCAGTTTCCTAACCATGGTGGTAGGTGCTCGGCAACACGTTTTTTAAGCTGCCTGGCTGTAGGCCCAGTATAGTTTTCTCCACAAGAGCAGCTAAATTGGCAAATGCACATGAAAGGGGCATGACTGGGAAACTTGTCTTTTGTCTGAGCAACAGTGATCGGCCGACTAGAATATGACAAACAAAGCCTGGCAACATAAAGACCTTTCTTCACAGTCAAACCTCAGTTTTAACTGAGAAAGGTAATCATGTATGATTTCGTGTACAGTCTTGTAGAACTTATTGCTAATCTATGGACTGAGGTTTCCTGTTAACCCAACTTCTTCCGAACTTCGCTTTCGCGTGGGAAATTGATTTTGGTCGACCTAAATTCAAAAAATAATCTAATTTCCAGTAATGAAGTTGGTAAACCAGCTGCACTGCGTTAATCCTTGCTGCAGATGCCCATGAAGTCTTACTTTTTGAGTTTGCTGCGAAACCTTACTACTTCGGCAAGTCGCTAACCACTATGGAGTAAATAGTTTCATCGTAAACTGGTTCGATCATCGAATTTTTCGGAATTTTCTGTGGTGGTTAAAAACAGTAATTCTTTGAAGTAGGGAACAGATAAGACATTTTATTATGAATATCTGAAACGAAGAAATGAATTTCTATTATGATATTGTCTTTGTTTCTTACAAATTATAAGGAATTTCATGATGCCCGAACTCTTCCCACAGGAAAATTTCAACCGAACAGCACGAGCTTATCACCTACTCTTTGGACTCATCTAAGTTCATTAACTTCTTGTATGTTTGAATGCAGCCTTCACATCTCGTTTTAGAGAGAAGAGGATAATCAGTTAATGAGATTGTGAACCTTCATCAGCCTAGGCAGAGGGAACATGTTACTCATCCTAGTCACCGTCTGCCTCGTCGCGCTGTGTAGGTTGAAGTAGTTTTAGTCTAGAAAAAGCATAGAGGTGACCAGAATAAAACATAGCATCAGTCCATAAACTCTTTGAACTAGTCCTCTAAGATGTGTGGAGGAACGTAATCACCCTTTTTAGCGTCCATCTGACAACCAAAACCGCTGGTTGGAGACGTGACGGCCCAGAATTGATCTCAATGGGACAGATAAGTCCACACACTATCTTCATTTTATTCGTCACACCGAATTTCACCAGTAAAAGAGTAAAACTTGGGCAATTTCGTAAACTGTAGTTCTAGTTTAGCTAATTTATTAGATGTGTCATACAACAATGTGTTGTATAGGAAGGGGATTCGGTTTATTTTGGGTGTTGGCATTCATCCAAGATGCATGATCGAGTGAGATATATGGTGCTGCGGATGTAGCAGTCTGAGCTATAGCAGTTGGCCGAAACAGTCAGACTTTCAAATACAGTTGTCCAATTGGAAAGTGACAGCAGTGATTAATTTAGGATTGTACGTTCCGCAGACAACTTGTTGCAAAACTACTATTTTTGTAAATGAAAGCTCCGATTGGATAGGCGTGTATGCGGTTATTTTTGAGTAGGATGGAGACGAGGCAGAAATGTTAGTACTTCGAGTTCGCGTGATGTGACTAGAGTGACATTTGAGCTGACGAACTAGGAAAAAAGCTTGGTAATCCATATAAGCAAAATACTTTACTTGAATGACTGGTTTGCAGTTATTGCGGGTCAATGTGTTCAAGCACAAAAGCTTAGCTAGATCAAAATTGGCAGTAAGATGATGAATCCTAAAATAAGCTCGACCACAGTTGTGCATGCAATTACACAACTACGCAGTAGGACGGGACGGAGTGAAGATCCTTAAAACTAACCTAGTGAGATGGAGAGAAGATTGATAACCGAATCCTTGTTTATCGAATCAACACCTAATACAAGCAACAGAAATGACCCAGCACCTGTTTTAGATATATAGAAAGTTCTACTACTTATATCCCAAAGGAAGAGAGAAAATTATGACTACATAAACCATGTCTCAAAGTTTTGAGGTTATGTCGACACGAGTACGGACGATAAGTAGTGTCCTAAACGTAATCCAAGTCCTTGTTCAGCCAAAAGCAGATATTACTGGCACACATAACCTAAACCCTAGCCTGCCTGTATAAGCTACCAAGGGGAAACAACCAAAGAGGAAAATAAAACCTCTGACTAAACTGTTTGACCATGGTGATGCTTGCCACACGTGTGGCCTCACTGTAGCCAAAAGGGACGCAGCTTTTGAGTGTAACGTTTGTAACAAGTGGGTACACTGTTGGTGTGATAAAGAAGTACTAGACCAATAATACACCCTCGTGGTACGTCACCCATCTACGTGGTTCTGGTACATCTGTTCATAGTGCCATATGAGACCACTTCTAGCTACGTGCTCACTTAGGTGGGCTATAAAAAATCCAGTGGCTACTCAAATACCGGCTTCCGCACAAACCACTACCACGAGTGAGTCCTATAAATAAGAGAGTCAGTGATGTTCCACGAACAGTCAAACCTGTGAGTAGTCGAAAAAGCAAAACGACTACCAGCCATAAGGCCAAATACATCAGTCTCAAACCCTGAAGTTGTTCTAACGACTACCCCTGCTGTGCATCTTGAAAAATTGGTAAGAGTCGAAAAGAAGGCTCAACCTTTGAAAACTCACCCAAAGTACATAATAACGAAAATGTAAATTGCAAGTCAAATACCATCATTTCGTTAAACGTTCCTGTATTTCACGACAGTCTTCTCGAGAAAAGGAAGTCGTTTGATAAACAGAAATGGGGAACAGTATGCTGCACACTAAGACTAGGCAACCTAGAAGGAAAACTATGCCTGCTCTAACAAGGCAGCCATTCACCTCCAGGATCATCATCAATATCAACATAGCACCAGGCATTACTGCCTAACGGTCAGAATTGCAACAGCTCATATCAGTACATCAAGTTAAAAGGTAGTGAGGTGAAAGATGAAAATAAGAAAATTCAGTCAGAAGAAATATAAAGTACGAAAAGAGACCAAGAAAGAATGAGAAAGTGGTGAGATTCGGTATAGCGTCGTTAAGATGAGGACAATGTATGTATACATCTGCGCCACTGACATTGGTTCTCAGCCAATATCACCTAGAGTCTCCAACCTCTGGTTCCTCTTGTCCCGCGGACCCCAACCGACTAGTCTGCATCACCCCACATGGCTCAAACCAACAGTCAAAGACTTCAAACATTGGTACCATGTTTTAGTCTGGCCACCTCGAGCCTTTTTCCAGCCTGAACCTACTTCGGCCAACATTGTGTGACGAGGCAATCGGCGACTAGGCATACGTAGTACGTGTCCCAACCATCTCAGTCGATGAAGGTTCATAACCTTGTTAAATGATTTACCTCTACTCCCTAAAACTCTATACCTGACTTTTGCGCTACTCATATGTGATGACACCACGGGATACAGCCTATACTACGAAGGCAACGATGGTCAAACACTTGAAGCCTTCTCATGTCTTCCATCTTCAATGGCCATGTTTCACAGCTATACAGTAGAACAAACCGGACTGTTGTGCAGTAGACGCGACTCTTAATAGACAGTCGGATATCACGGCGGCGCCATAGGTGGCGTAAGTTGGCAAAAACCAGTCGAGCTTTTTGTATCCGTACGGAGATTTCATCGGCCACTGAGCCACCAGGGTAGGGTTAATCCTACTTCCCAGGTAAGTGAAGTTGTTGGCACACCCAATCACTACACTCTTTATTGTTAGCAGAGGCACCGTTGAAGACCAATCCTGGAGTAACAATTTGCACTTGAGTGGTGAAAAACGCATTCTCAAATTGTCACTCAGTGTTCAGAAGACTGCATCTTGTCAGCGTCTTCACTCAACAGGTCTATGTCATCTGCATAATGTAGGTCTAACGAAAATTCTCTGCGATTAGACCAACCTTTCTGTAATCAGGTGACGAGAGGGAGACCTCCACAAGAATATCTATGATAAAATTGAATAAGAATAGAGACAGTGTGCACCTTGACGGACACCACTCGATGAACACATCTCACTATAGACCCTAACATGCCCACAAGTATTCGAGTAGAGAGCCTTCAATAAGGTGATGTACTTACTCGGCACACTTTTCAGTGGGCGACATTGTTATAAGACTTCTCGATCAACAGAGTCGAATGCCACCTTCACGTCGAGAAATACAGCTATTGTCGGGCGTTGGTAAGCGTGCCTATGTTCCAGGACCTGGTGCAGTGTGAATAT